AAACTCGAGAAAAGCTTTGTCTACATTCGTCAGTTTCTCGGGTCGAGAGTGAGGTATAGTATGGGCGCACCCGAGAAAAGTGACATTTGAGTGTAGACAAAACGCTCCCGAGTTCGTCATGCTACGTGTGCTGGTGTGAATATTGTAATTGAAATAGAAATTATATATTATTTAAAATAAAATTATATCTTGGAACTAGCTTTTGCCCGCGACTTCGTCCGCGTGCAAAAGTCCGCTTTGAACAGCATTTCTAACAAATATTTATTCATTATATCGTGTAAAATACTTGAAATAAAATTTCATCCCCTATTTTATCCCCTTAGGGGTGGAATTCATCAAAATCCTTTCTTAGGTGATGCCTAAGTCCTAGTAGTTTTATGCATGCCAAATCTCAGCCCGATCGGTCCTGTGGTTTGGGCTGAGCGTTGATAGATCACTATGTCAGTCAGTCACCTTTGAGTTATATAGATTTAGACATCGTCCAAGTTTGTTAATTAAAGGAAACCCAAAAAGAGTTTTCTCTTTACCATAAAATAAATCAATTGTCAATCTTAATCAGCCTTTCGTTAATTCGCTCCGTGTGAGATGTGAGTATAGTAGAGTGCCAGTGCTACCTTGAGCGTGGTGAACATGAGGCCGAGCTCGCCGCGGTGCAGCGCCGGCTCGAGGAACTCCTCCACGAAGTGCAGCTCCGAGCCCAGCTGCAGGATGCGCGCGCGCACCACCACGAAGTGGAACACGGGGAACAGCTCGTCCATGCTCCACAGGTAATTGGCGCCTGATTATACACACCGATCACTTGTATCAATCATCCAAGCACGATATAGGAGTAATTTGCTACTATTGATTAAAAAAAAAGCAATAGGGGTGTAGACGACTATTAAAAATATATATATTTCATAGAAAAAAAAAATTAAAAACTACCAACCTAATAATAATAAGTTAAAATATAAAAATAAATTTGAATTACAAAATTTACTGTGAAAACGCCATCTTCTGTCATGCATCTTCTGTCATGGCGTCGCTATGACGTCACTGTTCAATGTATGCTTAGGGTTTAATTTTCTAAGTTCTGATATGAGTAAAGATGCGTGTCGTCACGCGTTTGTTTTTTCATAATTGATTTAGTTTTAACTCGTACATGGTGTGATTAATGTTGACAGTGCTTAATATATACATAGCCGAAAGGAAGAGGCAGATCCATTGCTACATGGTAGTCATATAAGATGGATCTCGAACCGCAGAATCTTTCACCTTTGACAACCCGGGATAGAATTATCTGGCGCCGATGCACAAGATACAGGCAGGGAGAAGAAGAACAACAAGACATTTAACTGATTAGCATCTATAAAGCGAGGAATTAACTAGACGGGCATGCCCGGCGAGTAAGTCTGCCAGACCTCGGTACTCATAGACCTATTGGTCTATGTACGTTTTGCTAATCTAAGACAGTTGCAATAAATACAGACCTATTGTAGTGAGGTGTAGCGGGTACGTCTATAGACTTGCTCACGAGCATGCCCGTCTATTGAGTTCTCCACTTTATTGATACTAATCAGTTAAATGTGATTATTATTTTTTATGTAAAAAAAAATCTATCTCAAACAAATTCTTAATAGGAATGTCGATATTTTTGTATCGGATAAACTGAAAAATGTATTCGTAAATTTACCTAATTCTTGTAATTCTAATTTTACTTAATGAATTTGATTAAAGGCTCACTTTGTTTTTATAATGAAACAACACAGATTATAGAAGATTAGTTCATAAGTCGCAATTTTGATATACGGAAACTAAATGTAATCGTATTGCTCATCTATGAAACAGCACATTACCTAGTTCCTGCTGAACAGCCGTGGTCATCTTCTGGAATGTGGTGCGGATGACTAGCAACTTTTCAATGGGTGAGAATGTTGTCTTGAGCTGTTGCAGGGTTTCTATTGCATCTTGGAACAGCTGCTCCTTCAGAGGGGAGAAACTCGGCGAAGAAGGGTTATTATGACCCTTATATCCGATCCAAAATTTTCTGCAATAAAATAATGTGCAGTCTAATAAAATTTCATACACAAAGTTAATATTATATCCGTTTCGTAATTAAACTTGACTATTCAAGTACCTGTTACTGTCGTACTCAGATATGTCAAATAATAATTTAGTACTGATCAAATTTTTTTTATACAAAAATCGAATTTGCCAATAATGCCACATTTTAACTTACATGTTGTAATGAAAAATCAACTCGAATATTTTTTTATTGCCAAACTGATTTTATTTCCTTAGTATATTATAAACTTAGTATAAACTAATGTAACGTGTATAAGTACTTGTACCAAACAAGTAGGTAGCAAATTCAGTTTCATCAGAACAAGGTTTTTGGCATCTGGAGCAATGATTCATTGATAGTATGAGTATTCTTCTAATTGGAACCACAAAACACATTAAACTCTTCTACAATATTATTTTTTTAATGAAAAACTGTTATTTTTCTATTAATTAACAAGGGAAAACGTGTAATTTATAAATATTTCTACGATAACCGACGGAAAATGGCCGTTAGGCAAATTTGACAGATAAGCTACGCATAGTAAGTTTGACAGCTCTACCGACAGATAGATTTTTTTATTGAACCACCGTTTTGCGCCATTTTCATACATTTTGCCTACGAACGGTTATCAGTATCAGCCCTGTAATGCTGTAAAAATCCAAACCCGAATTCGAATTCACTCAGGTCAGGTCCGAATTAACTTCAAATAGCCTCATCCGCACAATCTTGAAACGGTAATAACGTTTCGTAGCATAAGTAAAGTGAGTTACGAAATGACATAGGAATTGAATATCTGAAACATGTATATTCAATCAAATTTGTTTTGTAATTTTATACAAAAAAAGAATGGAATTAATAGAATTTCTACAATCAACGACTTGAATTCGGACACATGTGTGAATTCGAAATCGGGTCTGGATTTTTACAGAATGGCAGGGCAGATCAATCCGTTAGTAGCACACCGTCGGTAGCTTTGCCTACCAATGGTATGTTATTGAAACACTTTTTTGCTACGATGGTACGATGGTAGCAAAAACGGATAGTATTTTGGTTATTGAAACCGGGGCTAAGTCTTAACAGTGTGAATAGATTGATTGAACTCACTGGTCGATGCCGAGGAAGGTCATTAGAGTGAGGTCTGGCTGTTTGTTCCACTTGAGCAGCCGCCGCCAGTAGAGGTCGTCCTCGCGCTTATTGTGCAGCGCGTACAGCACGAACAGCGCCGGGTGGACGCGCGGCAACAGCGCCGCTTGCAACAACGACGCGGATGACACCACCTCGCTAACAAACAATACGGTTTGATACCCGCTACGCAGCTCGGTGGCGTAATGGACCGCGACCGTTGTTGCTAAGCAATCTTCGCGAGGGTCGGCCACGGGATGGGTGACCAAAAATACGGGTGTAGACAGTAAACGAAAATAAATACATTTTTTTTCTGGTAGTGTTTAATATACAATTACCGATAATCACACTTTTATGCTTATTATATTTGTGATATTGCTTAACTATGAAAAAGAAAATTGTATAGTCGTTGTCCGTGGCCGCAAACAGCGAGTGACGTCACGCCCCTCATACTCATATCAGAACTTAGAGAATCAAACCTTATGCATACATAGAACGATATTACTTTCAAAGCTTCGTGACGTCATACGGACAGAAGTTGGCGTTTTCCCGGGATTTTTTCCGTTTACTGTCTACGCCCGCATTATCTTGCGTTTTTAATTTGAAACATTTCAAACGTTTTCGACCAAGGTCAGTTTTGCACTCCGATTTATGTTCATTGGCTTGAGACTTGTAACGTTAGTTTTTAGTGTTTCTTACCTACTGTAAAATTGAATGTTAATCTAAGTATTATCTTTCTTGATAGGTCTTGAATTACTTACCCATCAATAGGATTGGTTTGTTCTTCTTGCTCTTCACCATCCGACATATACGGAATTACAAGGTCAGTGCCCTCTTGTGGTAACGCAGGGAATAACAACCTTACAACTTGGTACAACCTAGCCGTGATACTTTTCAGCTCTTTAACTGCGTGACTTAGCAGTAAAGGGTGTACTCTAACGCCCCCGTATGTTGTATTAAAGGCGTTTGTTAATCCTTTTACCAATTGCCCTAAGGGATGATGATTTGATTCACAGGCCTGAAATATAAAAAAATATTACCATCAACTATAATATTCGATTACCCATTGATAACCATAATAAAATACCCATTGATTCGCAAACATGCTTTACGACGAGTATGTTTTTCTTCCTTTTTACTCTTATTCTAAAATCGGTTAGTATTACATGTATGTTGCTTTATAACTAGCATTACATATGTCTCTTCAAAAAAATACTAAGGAATTTGATATCTATTTCCACAACTTAAGGTATCAAAAATGGAGAATATCAGTTTAATTATTCAAAAATATGTCAAAGTATCTTATGGCATTAACATACATTTTGCAGATACTGCTTCAGTTCCATATAGTCATTCAGCGATAGTGTTGTCTGTCCAAACTTTGGTATAACTTCTAAGCAATCCACCGACTTCTCAATGTCGCTATTTTTCCTTCTCTTCAACGAATTATGTTTCTCTTTGTGGGAACAGGATATTGCCACCGCGACATTTTGCCATACTTTGGCGTTGTCTATGGTGGGACCGGAAGGTCCGTTCGCAAAATGGTTTCCGGTCGGAGTGAGTATTGTCTCTGACACACCGAGACATTGAAAACATTGTCGGAATAGAGCGTTCCATTTTTGATGTGGTGCTACACTGAGTTTACCAAATGAACTGAAAAATCAAATTAAGAAAGTTGTTGTATTAAACATAGACAATCTTTAAGTTGTTTAAAACTTTTATGATTATTAACAATAGAATTACTACTGAACAAATTTTATGGGATTGCCACTGTTACGAACTGGCCAGCAGGCCGGTGAGATATTTTTACAAGTCTATTTTTTTGTTGACATTTTATTTTCCTTTTTTCATTGTTCTTGCTGCTGTCATGAAAATGAGCTGCGTATTTTAGTTTGTATATATTTTAATTATTATCTATATTATATTATTTCCTTGACTTTGAGCCCTTTCTTTTCTTCCAACTCCTATAACTACTACCTATCTGTTATAGCCACCATCTACCTTATGATGCAGCTCCTGATATTTAAAACCAGAAAAAAAAATTAAAAATGTCGTTTCGCGATCCGATACAGTGAGTTTTATATCTAGAACATCCCTGCGATTCTGTAAAAATCCAGACCCAAATTAGAATTTAGTCATGTGTCCGAATTGTTGTCACTTAATGTAGAAATTCTACTGTTTCCATATTTTGTATAAAAATACAAAACTAAAATTGATTGAATATACGTGTCCCAGATTATTCTATTCCTATGTCATTTCTAAACTCACTTTACTTATGCCATGAAACGTTATTATTAATTCAAGGTTGAGCTGATGCAGCTTTTTAAAGTCAATTCGGACATCTGAGTGAATTCGAATTCTGGTTTGGATTTTATAGAATCGCAGGGTTGGTGCGAGTTAGAGGTGACAAAGTTAACCCACTGTATCTGCCGGTATACAGTGGTACACGGGTATCGAACGTAAGAGGACTAGAAAGAAGGTTAGATCGATATATCTGCCAATAAAACCCACCCGGAAAAACTTACTAAATGATCATGGCGTTGGCAACACCATCGAAATTACCTGGAACTCGATAAACTTAAGAGTGCATGGTAGCAATCCCATAATTAACAATCATTCTAATCCTTGAATTGGATATTTTCATTCTTATAACTAACGTACTTAGGTTTTGAATTGGACGGCAGTGCTGGGTTAGACACGTTCAGTTGCATCGTGGCGTTCGATATCTTAACGCCTTCCGTCCATGCCCCGCTCAGGGAACCTTCAATTTTATCACCGCTGGAGAATGTAAGTACCCCTTTGCCGGAGAATACTCCCGCAGCTCGGAATTCCCCTTCATAATGGGTACCATCTTCAAACACCATTACTCCATGGCCCTAGTACAATAAAACTTAACATTATACAGTCATTGTCATCAGACCTTGGGCAGGGGCTCGGGCCTTCCTTATGGATGGTTAAGGAGGATGGCATTAACGACATCAAATGCAGCCGAGACCAGCAGCTTAACCACGGGCGGATCCAGCTTTAAGGCCAGGGTACAAAGATATATAATAAACATTATGTATAACAATTTTAATCAATAGTCTACCTAGGTCTTGGACCCAGCTCAGGGGTGGGAAAGGGGGGGGGGATGTTGGTCATGACCTTTTGACCACACCCCTGTCTCTCCCGAAGCACAGAGTAGCTCGAGATAATATTTTTTTGATCACTCATCCCGTGACACAACAATCGCGGTCCGCGGTGCTTACGCAACTACGGCACTGAGCTAATAAATATAACATTTCTATAAATTACAGGCACACCGAGTAGTTCTCTTCAGTTTAGCAAAAGTTATAGGAATGAATGAACGCTAGTTTTTCGATTCGACATTCTTACAACAACCAATTAATGTAGAGGTAAAAAAAAATAACTACTAGAGGCAAAGGCTTCCCCTGTCAAATTAAATAAAAGGAGAAAGGGACCAAATCCTTTATTTGGAGGACACAATCATTTATTTGGATGACTCTTTATTATTTGTTATTTCGATACTTTAACATAGCCCATGAAACGGCTTACAGAAAAAAATGCTGAGCCAATTTCGATAAAATTTATATGATATATTAATATATTTATGTCGGTAGGCCGAGTAAAAAGAAATATTTAGATTATGATGACGAGTTAAAACACAAAAAAGATAAAATACACCTAAATTAAACCCCCTCTTTTTTATCTGTAAAAAAATCGGACATAGTCATAAGAGTTGCCAATCTGAAAAATCCTTACAAGAGTTAACAAACAAAGTTGTGTGAATTATACTCAAACTAGTTATCTAAATAAATTCCGGTACTTTTTGCAATAGGCCTCTAAATGCTTTATCATTTACATAATGTATATTTACACAAAAATTACGCACCGTTAACACATCCTGCATGAATAATCCTTCATAATAAATACCGTCCAATGTCACGATAAGGCCGCAGCCATGCTTCTTGTTATCACTCCAATTGCCCAAATATTTCTCGCCCTTGTCTATATCGTCCATAACACCATAACCGTGTTTCACACCGTTCGTCCATTCTCCTGTGTAAATAGTGGCAGATGAAGAGGTAAAGTCCCCTTGCTTCTTGATACCGTGGCCGTGAGGCTGCCCGTCTTTGAAGTATCCTTCGTACACGTCGCCTGAGGTATACTTTAATATGCCATACCCGTTCTGAAGATTGTCTTTCCACTGACCATCGTATATACCTTGAAAAATAATTATTACATTGAAGGTTTCACAACACGACGGTCTAGATCCGATTAGCATTAAGAGATTATCATATGACGATTCTAAAATTATAAATACGAAAGTCTTATAAGGTTTGTTACGTTTTCAAGCGCAATAGGCTAGTTTTTTTTTATACTTATAATAAATCTGTAGAGAGATCAATTCTGTACATGAAATATATTTCCAAAATAACTATCAGGGGGTGATTAGGGATCGATACTGATGCCAAAAATGCAATCAGTAAAATTTTTGTCTGTCTGTCTGTATAACCGTTATAGAAACAAAAACTAATCGACGGATTTTAACGAAACTTAGTACAATTATTTTTCATGCTCCTGAGCTGGTTATAGTATACTTTTCATCACGATACAATCAATAGGAGCAGAGCAGTGAAGGGAAATGTTGGGAAAACGGGAGAAGTTACTCCATTTTTTAAGCTTCCCTTGCGCGTGCAACCTTGATGGTTAAAGCTACCCAGAAATCATGTATGACTGAAATGTTCTCCTTAAAATTATATAAAAAATATCCCACGACAGCATATGTCTATCTTTTATCGATTGATTAGTATCCAAAATTATTATCTTGATAACTATGAACTCTGTAAGCAGGTGCCAAGACACACATCGTTAAAATTGAGCACATACAATGTTTGTAAATTGGATATTTTAAGATACTCTTGTTTCATTAAAAGTTCCTGGTTCTGTGTCTTAATTTACAACCAAAAGTCCGTATCACACTCATCCATATAATATTCAGTGATCATAAAAATCTCCACATTTGTCATTGGCTTAATTGAAGCATCATCATAAGTTTGGTTTTATAAAATAGTAGATATTTACCTAGTTAATTATACCTGTTTCCATGACTTGACATATTTGAAGTAACTTTAACTAACTGTTTGTAATTCATAATTGGTCGAATGAATGTATTTAAATCGTGTAATGGTCTCCTACGTGAAGTTGGCAGTATTGTGTTGACGCAAAGTGCCATTCAAGTTAAGAAGAAGAACTAACTGCTATCAGTTTATGACAAATGATGACTTGAAAAGAACTACTTCAAGTGTATGTTTGTCAAACCAGAATATGAAATGAGGTAAATACCTATTATTTTATTAAAACCTATTATGTTAATCAGCGTAATGACAAATGTGACATATGAATTACAATATTTACTTGCAGCATTTAAATTTTGTTATGTATCATGGCAAATACTTCTATAATTATTAAGTCACTAACTAAAAACAATATGATGTAATGTATATTCACAATTGCATACACATCCATTAAGGTTTTATGATGACATAAACACTAATGAATCAAAAAATCTAATGAGAATTTTAATGGACGTTTGTGCAACAGAGTGTTTGAATACCTACCTATTCCTGGAATCTCCATCTTTCCATGTCCACAAAGAGCATTTAGTTGAAATTGTCCCACATACAATTTACCATCAGGCCATTCTATTTTACCATGGCCATGAATTTTTCCATCCAACCATCGACCATTGTATTTAGCTTCTTTAAAAAAGGCATTTTTATTTGAAAATGTGTAACTTGCAGTCCTTGCTGCGGGTGGTTTGAATATAGAATCTTTATTTAATACAGATCGGATAGATGTGTTTAATGAATGAACCCATTCTGTTTTCTCATGCTCACTATTTGTAGTAACAGATATAATTTCTTCAGGAAATGTTAGTTGTATAGCATTTAATATAGAATCAGTGTTAGAAATTGGTTCTACCCATAGAGTGTCTAGTGGGTGAGCATAAGGTGTGCTGCCAATAACATGTAAAAATAAATCATTGAATAAAATAAACCAATGTGATGAAAATCTACCAGGATTCACCAAATTGAGGGGGCGAGATTTTGACTCTCTAACCAATCTCCTCTCTGGAGTTCTGTATTGCTCCAAACCTTTTCCTAAAGTCTCCCAAAAGAGTTTTGTTAGATCTGCCTCCTTTCGTTTTTTTTCTTGTTCCTCTATTAATGAATCCAGAGATGAAATTACCTTATTCAATCTGTCATCAATATTTGCTTTTGTATCAATTGTATTTTTTTTCGACTTGTATCTCAACAATGACTGAGCAATACACTTGTAGGAACTTAATCTTGTCAACGGTTGCACAAAAGCTAGAGCAACTATGGCTTCTGATGTTTTCTTATTATTTTTTTGTTTGTTCGAAGGTAGTTGATCACTGAACAAGTTATAGATGCTTGTTGGTACTTCAACTACATTGTTGATGTGAGAAAAACCACCAATAACTATTAAATTGCTTATAGCTATATAATACTTTCTATATAAATAAATATATTCTTCTAAATTTTTAATTAAAGAAATATCACATTCGTTTATATGCTTCTCTGCATATTGCCACATTGAGAGCACATTCAGAGCAGTAGTGTTTAATATGTCACTAAAAATATCACAAACAGTTTCATATATGATGGAATGTGAAGTTATTATTTTACTTTTCTTCAGAAAAGGTTTGATTAAAAAATGATATATTAACAGCATCTCTTCAAGATACCTTTGAGCAATAGAAAGATCCTGAAACTCTGGACAAGTTATGGATTCTTCAAGGGAGCAATAGCTAATATTACCAGAAGACAATATTCTCCAATGGTAACACATATTTTGTTGTGATTTATTAACATAAGTTTCATGTTCAACTGTTTTCACATTTTCATCTTTACCATTTTCAAAAGCCTCAGAGTCTTCTTTCTTGTTTAAATTCACAATAGATTCAGTGTAACCTTCTGTATGTTTACCCATGTAAAAAATGTTTTCATTATGTGTGTAAGCAAGGGTGTGGTGATCAGTCGCTATCATGTCCCTCACTCTGTCACTGTCAGAATTTTCTGTAAACTGCTTAGGACCACTCTTATCATCTCTAGAGTCAAAACTAACCTGATGGAAATGGTTGTAACCCCACAGGAAAAGTCTTCCATCTAAAGTAAGTGCTGAAGAGTGCCATTTACCACATGAAACTTTTTGTAAACCAAAGCCTGATAAACTCATGACTACCATTGGTTTTAATCTTTTGACAGTATCACCTATGCCTAACTGCCCATATGATATGTCCCCCCAAGTCCAGAGTTCAGTTGCCAATATGTTTTTACCAAGTTTAGACATGTTTTTAAGGTTTTCCTTCTTTCTAGCTGCTTCAAACTCTTTTTCACTACTAATAGTACTAGTTGAGAATTGTAAATCTTCTAAATTGCAATTAGATGTGCAACTGTACATGAGCGAGTTGAATTCATCAAGATGATTTCTCATCTGAAGTTCTACAATCTCATTATTATCACTGCTTCCACTTACATGTCGTGATAGAGTTGCCACCTTATCCCCTACTGTCTTTACTCCTTCATAGACAAGGTTTGTTAGATTAGATACATTTTCTTTAATTATTCTTGTAGGTTTTTCTGTGTATTCAACTAAATAGTCTTCACCGGCTGACACCCAAGATAGCTGTCTACTTAAAAACTGTCTTGCAGCATCTGTGTTAATGAATATATTATTAACTTTTTCTGTATTTGCATTTGGAATGTCACTCTCTTTTTCAGTGTTTTCATTATCCTGTGATTTAGCTTCTGATGTTATATCTTCATCAAGAGCATTAACTTTCTGAGAAGCAATATTTTTAGCTATTTTTGATTCTTCTGAGGAAGGACTGGAATCTTCTGTAAAGCTATGGGCATCAACATGTACATCAGTTTGAGGTGCGGTGGTACTACTGGAATCTTCACTAGATTTACTAATTTGTACACCTAAGGGACAAGTTTCAGATAGGGACGGCACAGATGCAGGGGAAGCTAGGCCTATTATTGTTTGGCATTGAGAGCAATTTGATGCAAACACTTCTTCATCATCATTGTCACTGTCTGTGTCACAGTTTCCTGAACGTTTTACATTTTTTCTTGCTATTACTGCAGCAAAATTTTGCCCAATTGAAGCACTATATACTGTTCTACCTTCAAAAAATAAAACTTTTTTTATATGATTACTTTCTAAACCAATTTGAGGCATCAACCCACAACCCCACAGCTGTCCATCACTACTAATAAACAATTGGCCAAAATCACTTGACACAACATTTCTAAACCTCACTTTACAACTTGAACTTTTAAAACCATGGGGACAACACTTCGAATCTTCTCTGACAACAATCTCTTCTTTATTTTTAAAACCAGCATTAGTCTTATATAGACGTCCATGTACATCAATAACATATAAGATATTATTGTGATATGATATGTCTATCGCGGAAATACCACCTATTTTTTTAAAAACAAGATGATCTTCAATGTCACAGGCATATAGACCATGGTCATTTCCTAATACAATGAAGGATGTGCCTAATGAACAAAGTTTCACAATTTTTTCAGGTACTTGTTGTGACGAACATATGTTCAACGGTTCTATTCCTCTCCAAAACTTATGTTGACTCATTATTCGATATCTTTCTTTTAGTTAAAAGGTAATTCTTATAAATAAATTCTTCATATGAAACGCAACTGTGTATGAACTGAAATTATTTATATAAGCTGTACCGCCTCCGTTGTATGAGCCTATAGTACAAACAAACACTTGCACTGAACATTTTATCAAAAACTCGAAATAAATTATATTTATTTAGGATTCCTTGAATAACGCTCACTGAAAGATGAGAAAAGTAAAACTGAAAACAACATGACTTTTGTAATAAGTGTCGCCAGCTACCGTTATGATTTTACCCCAAACCTCACTCCAATCTAAACTAAAAAAAAAACATGACTGCCAAAATTGTTATAAACTATATTTTTTAGTAGGTATAGCTTAACTAAACAAAATTCTCATTCCAGTTAGTGGACCGTTCTGTAGGTGGTACCACAGACGAATAAGAGATACTACGTATGGTGGTACCCTACTATATAAGTTACTTTAGGGGTGGTTCTGTAGAACATTTGTATTTTTTTTTTTGTTTTGGCATCACACGGTTTGTGTATTTGCTAGTGTCAAAGGTAGTGAAACGATAGTAGGAAAAAGGTTTATTATAATACTACTAGTAGGAAAAAGGATAGGATTTGCGACAGGTTATTAGCAATAGGATGCAAGGTTAATTTGTAATCAAAAGAGTAGTATTTTTTCTTCTCCTTCTTCTTTTTATTTAATGGCGTCGCCTTGTGGATTTCGCCAGAATCCAGTGTTTCGCTCAGATTACTTCATATTTTAGTATTTTATAAAATCTGCTATTTGTATGTTGGTACTGAAAGCCCAGTGAGCTTTGAGCCTTCGAGCTTTCATTGTAATTTTCACATTGAAATTGACTTTATATGAAATTCGCGCCAATATACTGCTATAGTGAATAAATTAGTCAATATTGGAATGAGGGAGTATTTTAAGAAAAAAAAAAGAAAGCCTAAAAGCATCTCACTAGATGGCTACTTTACCAAAAGTAGATTTTTGCAGGAAACGAATGTACCAAAGATAGTAATTTCCGTTCCCTTTGACTCACATATCCAAAACTGTAATTTGCAGAGTTCGAAACTTAGATATCAATATAAATACGAAAAAGTATAAATAGAATATGAGTTGTTTATTGCGTTTTAAAAATTAATTTACTTTTATACATGAAAGAAGTCCGGAAGATATCGGGAGCTAATGTTTTTTTTAATTAGTTTAAAATATAAGATAAACCTAATAAACCATATAAAAGTTGTGTGTTTTAATGCTATGTTTTTTTTGATAAACTTAAAAGAATCGGTAAACGCAGATTCAGAGTACGTGGCGTCATTTATTGAATTTTCAGTGAAAAATTTAAATATCATTCAATTCGATTCATTCAAAAACATAAATATAAAAAACATTAAAATGTTACTAGAGTAGCCGGTTTTTACAAACATTGAAATTATTTTGCAATTTTAACGTTCCCACGTTTTTCCTAGATAATTTTTATTACCAATTTACCCCTATGATTAACTGATTAACCCACAATCGACGTCACCTTTGATTGATGTTTCATTTGACACGAGGCGCAGACTACAAATAGTGTTTACATACTTAATTTATATTAAAAAAAATGTAAGGATCACTTTATCAAAAATCTGTTCTCCTGTTTTAAAAACTATCAATTATTATATTGAGGAAATTGTAAAGATATTTAAGCTAATAAAGAAATTACAAGGCTTTTCTTGTTCCGAAAAGGAACGAAAAATTAAAAAGAAAGAAACTAAAGGACGTATTATTTATAGAAAATAGTAAATATTGATTTTCGATTGAAATAGTAATTATCGTTTTGCGATACTGGCGACGATCTTGAGATCGATTTGGGTGGCAAAAAAAAACCGCAGATTGAGTTCAAAATTGTTTGATTATCAATAAAATCTGCTCGAGATTGGAATCACTACTGCAACCCAATCGAATTAAGTCGAGTTTGTTTCAGTAAGTTGATTGCACAGAGTACTGTTTGGGTCAACCAAAAAGAACTCAGAGTAGTGTGACTGCTGTTTTAGTGACAGTTGACAGCTGACACATCACTAAAAGAGCAGTCGCATTTTACTCTTTAGCAGTCGTCAAGAAATCAACAAATCACCAAAGCTTTTGAAAGCTTTCTTTCTTTTCCGTTCCGTATGCAGTTGTGTCTGTTGAAAGAAATTAGTAGAAATGGCGAATCGTGCTGGTCCATCGAGGCGTATTCCAGAAAATGAAGCAGCAATTACATATGTACAATGTGATGGTTTGGTAAGTATATTTTGTACATCTACGTAACTAAATTTCATAACCTATAGAAAAATAATGACACGATTTATTAATCGTTTTGCCAATAATTATACTATATGACATTAAATAATAAACAGAATAATTATAATTCGTGTCATTAGTTTAAAAACTAATGTTGAAAAGTGACACTTTTTAATTAAGTTCGGTTGTCATTAATCGACGAAATAATTCAGTTTATTCCTTAATTTATTCTCTACGCTTAAAATTGCAATAACTTTTTTACGTTCATTTGTTATTTTATTTAGTTAAAGATATATCTATATCAACTTTATTAAAAAAATTACAGGCAGTGATGAAAATTGTGAAGCACTGCCATGAAGAGTCATGCAGTAACATGGAAGTGGCACAAGGAGCCCTACTCGGACTAGTTGTTGAGAACCGCTTAGAGATCACAAACTGTTTTCCATTTCCCAAGCATGATGATACTATGGACGAGGAGGAGTATCAATTAGACATGATGCGGAGACTACGTAGAGTCAATGTTGATCACTTCCATGTTGGATGGTAAGTCTTTATTTAAATATAATTTATAGCCAAGATCAGCCCCTTCTCAAACGCAATCGCAACCCATCGACATTGCAATTGTGCTGTCTCAAGCTCTTGATTGGTTACACTCTATTACTATTATATTATAGAGTATTCTAGAGAACCAATCAAGAACGCAGAGCAGCACAATTGCAATGAAGATTGACCGCGCAAGTAAAAGCGCTGTATTTCCCAAACTATGGTTTCAATGAAACTAATATTTAGTAGTCCCTAATGGGCTATTTGTTAATGCATAATACACAAATTGATGCCCTCTTTTTATTTAAGACTATAATGAAGTCCCTTAATATGAATGTTTTGTAAGATCTTTTATAGATTCTAGTTTTATATTATTAGAAATTTATCATGTGTTATGTTTGTATACCTAAAGGTTGAAATTGATTAACTTTCATGATTAAAACATTTTTTTTTGTAGGATAACACAAAAGTCTATTCATCTGTCATCTTATAAGTTATTATTAATTAGTGGGGGAGTTTTTTGAGACATAATAATAATTATCTAAATAAAACATACCTAGGCATTGTAATATTACATTTACTGATTACTATAACAAACTGTACTGAAAAACTAGTGTAAAGACAAATGTTTCCTGTACCAATTTATGGTATAATAATAGACTTAAACATTACCTGACTGCCTAACCAAAATTGATTGTACTTCAATTCACAGATAGTTTTTTAGGAAAATATAGTTTGTAGGCAGATATACAAAAATTAACTGTATTTTTTCATTACATTCTAGGTACCAGAGTGCAGATGTTGGCAATTTTTTGAGCCAATCGTTGCTTGAATCACAATATCACTACCAGACATCCATTGAAGAGAGTGTTGTTGTCATTTATGATACTAAGAAGTCTGCCAGAGGTTTCCTCACTCTAAAAGCCTACCGGTTAACTCCTCAGGTTTGTAACAGGATAATTATAGTTAAAAGATTTACCTCTAAGGCAACAAACACTGCTTGTTAATAATAGGTTAAATATAGAAAATATACTTTTCTTCACATATTGTCTTAGTTTTAGTTGGCTTTGGTATCCTCATTGTTTCAGATTTCCATAATATCTATAGGACTTTAGTTACTTAGTTGGGGATCTGATCAATGTATGTGAAGATAGACAGTTTAATAGTTAATAGAAACATTAAAATAGGGAAATCTGTACTGGTCAGATGTTTTTTTTAAGAGTCCTTATTGCTGTCATGCAAAATTATGCCACTTCATTATCTAAACCCTAGTAGACTTTTATAGTAATGACTAGATCTAGAAATCACTAACATATTTAATTTAATTTTGTCACTGCAAAATATATAATTTTTGGTTTTAATTAGGTACTTAAAACATTGTAGTTAATTCCAGAACATTCATTTGGAGGCAGTCTAAATTTAATAAAATAGGTGTGAAGCACAGTTGCACTATATACAAATGTTTGTAAATAATTTACACATTTTAATCCTAAAGCAAAATGCTTAAAAATATTAAATTCTAATACATATTTTTGTATCAATGCTGTATCTTCAAATTTTTTGTTTGCAGGCTATTGCAATGTATAAAGAAGGTGATTACACTCCAGAAGCCCTCCGAAACCTTAAGATTGGCTATGAGAACCTGTTCATTGAGGTTCCAATAGTGATTCGTAATTCACCACTTACCAATATTATGATGTCAGAGCTACAAGAAATGATTCCAGAAGAGGAGGGCTGCAAATTTCTAGATCTGGGCACATCTTCAGTTCTTGAAGGTAAATATAAGTTTTGGTTTTAGCTACAAAAGCTAGGATCCACTTGGTTTAATAGGTCGTATCTAATTCTTGATGAATGAAATATTTTTATTATAATTATAAATAAAATATGCACAGAGATATATACAAATGTCATAGTTGTGATGAGGAAGTATTAAAAAAAACAAAGCACTAATAAAGCACCTCCACTAGATGGCGACTCTAGCAAAAGTTGATTTTTGCGGAAACGAATGGACTAAAGACAGTCATTTTCGTAAAAAACGTACAAATAGAATATGAGTTTTTAATTGAGTTTTACATACTATAAATTTTTTTTAGAAAGCATGAACGTAACGTAGCGACATCTAGTTTGATTTCAGGAACGAATGTTTTTTTTAAATACTTCCTCATTGTTTTTATCACTACATAGATATACCTAAGTCACTCTCTGTCCCTATATCCCCTATGGACGCTTAAAAGTTTAAAATTATGCAATGGATTTTGATGCGGTTTTTTTCAAAATGAAGGTTTTTATGTATAATACAAAATCACGCGGGCAAAGCCGCTGGCGGAAAGCTAGTGTCATTATAATTTTATGAGGCTCCTCGTACCACTTGGGGTAGAAACAATTGATTTAAAGAGTGTTTTCTCCTTTATAGGCCAACTCCGTAGCTTAATGGAGAGGGTTGATGATCTCAACCAGGAAGCGATCAAGTTTAACCGGTATCAACAGCTTGTGGTCCGTCAGCAGCAAGACAAACATCGTTGGTTGTCTAAGCGGGCACAAGAAAATGCAGCTAGGGCTTTGAAAGATGAGCCTCCACTGCCAGAAGAAGATGTGAATAAGCTTTTCAAGCCCCTTCCTGTCCCACCTAGGTTAAATCCAATGATCCTAGCTGGCCAAATAAACACTTACAGTCAGCATATTAGTCAGTTCTGCTCGCAGAGTCTGGCGAAGTTGTATTTGACTCAAGCATTGCAAAATGCAAAGGACGCGAAACAAAATAATTAAGAATTTGTAATCTTATTAAGGTTTCGTCGTATTAAATTGTTATAATGAATTATGGTTTTTTATTATTAATAATCTCCACAGTAATTTTTATCAGTCATTAAACATTTAAGCAGCTTTATTTTACAGTAGCCTATATGTGTGAAAGTAAGAGGTGTGGACCATCATAAATATATCAGCGCGTGACCTGGCAAAAATACGTGCTATTAAGAACAACCTGAACTTATTATTAGCAAAATAATGTTTGTCAAATTAATGGATATTGTTGTAAAGGCGTCGTCTTTATCTATAGTTTAAAAAGGGACCATATTACTAACACTTCGCTGTCAGTCCGTCACCAGACTGTATCTCGTGAACCGTAATATTTTGTTTTTCAGACTTAAAATCGCAGATTATTTATATCCGTTACCATTATAACAATAAATATAACAATAACTAAAAACAGAATACCCAAAATAAATATTTGAGGCGTTTCCATACAGCAAACGTGATATTATTGCGTCTTTTAGAGATAATGGGATGGGATACATGGAATCTGTTACTCCACAGATCTCCACCGATTTGCACTGGTTGGGATACTTGGATTTTTGTTTCCATATATCGCTACCAATAGGGATAAGTTTTCTAATATTAGATATATAGTTACTTTATAGTTAGAAAAAACCGCTTGCAATATATTATACACGACTTGAAAGCACTTTATTTTCTATGTGATATTGTTATCCAAAATACATAATTACAACTTGTTACGGTAGAAATTACAGTAGGTGATTTCTTTGATCACATCTACTCTACCCTACACAACACGTACACATACAGTCACACTTTCACAGTTACACATACATATACATACACACACTCTCACACACACTCACACACTTTACACACACATTTACACGCCGTACTAGTCTGGAGTAGTATGGTGGGTACTTACCTGGGTACTTACCTGGGGACTTACCTGCTGTGCTTGCTCGACGACTGGTGCGGCGCCGGGACCTCGGTAGGGCCGTAGCCGCGGCGCGACGAGAGGGGATGCGACCCGTCGACTAGCTGGACGCCCCTGTCTGCCCTTCGGGGCTGATACAGGGAGTGATGAGGCTGGTCTTCTGTGGCGCATCGACCTACGGGGGGGGGGGATCCACGATAAGGGCTATGCCTGTGTGGATCCTCCCAACACGATGGGTAGGGGCCCGGAGATTGCACAGTTGCGCATCTCTGGTCCCTAGTCAGGGGCAGCTGGCCGGTTCGCGCACCGGTCGGCATTGCACGCTCCTGCCTCGTCGTGGGGATGCGTCTCGAATGTCTCTGAGACGTACCCCCAACCCGAGTGGAACCTGCCCTTTCAGGGCGGGCCGAAATGGGGGCGAACTGCGCGGTGTATGGCCTCCGGGCCGATCCCGCGCCTCGCCCACCATGAGAGGGACATCGCTGAGTTTTAGTGTGTAAACTTCTGTTTCTTGTCTAGCCCCCTTTTGGGGGTGGGGCCACAGGAGGAGTCCCACATCACCCGTGGAGCCCGCGCAGGGTGAAGCGGGTATGCGTAACGCATTTCTCAGCGTCAAAAAAAAAGGTGATTTCTTTGATATTGTAAGGTAAACGAATACATTCTATTGAACAATGCAACAGAGTAAAATTTTATGTTTACGTTGTCTCAAATGAAGTTATGTTTTTAATAGTAAATGAGTTTTGTGCAAATTTGACTAGTATTTCTCACTAATTTACCTTCTCATACATTCTTATTTTTACTATATATCTAATATTAGAAAACTTATCCCTACTGGAAAAAAAATATCAGAAATGGAAATAAAAATCCAAGTATCCCAACCAGTGCAAATCGGTGCAGATATGTGGAGTAACAGATTCCACATATCCCTACCGGTAGATATAATTGGAAAAACAAATCCTAGTATCTCTACCTATGGGGATTTGTCAATAGGGATATGTGGAATAGGGGGAATTCTTGACTAACTAAGGCAATAGCCAAGTTATGTAGTGTCGGAGATAAACGAGTCTGTGGCACTGCTAAGCTGGCAGGTACTCTTCTGTTATGTATGATGATGTTTTCCCAGAGTCGGAGTAATTAGATTGAAGTCAATTGTCTAACGCCTGCCAAATTCGATCAGTGTTTGCTATGATTTTAATATTAGGCACTGAATGTTTTTGTAAGTGACCCGGAAAGCCTTCGGGGAGTCAATATTTTCCGCATGCGGAAACTATGTATGCAGTATATCGATTAACGGAAATGAGAAGAAGTGATCAATAATATTGGAGGGTTTAAGTTAAACAACTTTTGTAAGGACCGGTAAAATTTTAAATATTATTATCTCGAGTTCCTCCGTGCTTCGAAAGGCACGTGAAGCTTTGGTCCCGGCTGCATCCTCACTGGGCCCGCGTGGACCCACCATGCACCACGGATGGCCATTCACTATTATGAACAATATACATTCGATTACGACTTTAAGGACGACCTGTGGAGGATATTTATATGCTGGTGAATGTGATGATATATAAATTAACGCATGTTGTTATGCTACACGATAATTTATACATATATAAAAGGAGATGTCTTGAGTTATTAACTGACAGACAACGCACAGCGTAAACCGCTGGTCATAGAGACTTAAAATTTGGAGGATACATTCATCTATTTATGTAGAGATTTACTCAGAAGGGATTTTTGGAAATTCCACCTCGAAGGGGGTCAAAAAAGGTAAAAAATGGTATTTGGATAGTTTAAGACGTTATGGAGGTCATAAGTTATATTTTATCCCGAAATCTGGCACTTAAAGGGATGAAAATGGGAGTGAAAGTTTTTATGGAGAATTAAAATGTTACCATAGCAACCATTGTTTACAGTTCGTCATTGTAATAAATCTATATAATATTATTTATAAAGATTTCCTCATATTGTGATAAAAAATAATATTTGAGTACATAATTGTGATAACAAAAATAACATTATAAATAAATATTTTTGAAAATATTCAAGTATAAATCACAAACAAAAATTTTGGTGCTATACTAGATGGCGTTAAGTATCACACTGTTTTGGTCAAGGTTGAGTTTTCATATAAAAGTAAGAACTTTATGCTTTGCTCTACTGATGAGTAGCTCGGTGACGTATCGGATAAGCGCCGTGGCCCGCGATTGTCACGATACTTCGCAAGGGTCGGTCACGGGATGAGTAACAAAAAGAAAAACAATATTTTAAACTTTTTCATGATTCGGAAGACACGTTATGCCTTTACTACACGTTATCGTTAATGCCCTTCAATCCGTGTTAAACCAGCGAGGAGGGTCACGGCCCATCCTCTTTAATAGCTTTAAAGTTTTCAGAGATAAAGTACTGTCATATATTGGACATTAGTTGGTTAATTACGTATATGGCATTAGCTGATGCTGTATCTTAAGTATTATTACATATTATACCACTAGATATATTTCTGTGATTATACCTATAGCTTTTTGTTGTAGTGTCTTTGAAGTTGAACATCAAAGTAATTTTATTCGAATATTGCGGACATTTTGCTTTTACTCAGATGGCTACGACATATACATTATATATTAACAGTTTAAACTTTTAATTTCCATTTTAACAGCTGTGAATTTAAATGTCGACTGAGCAATTTTGATTATTGTGATAAATATATTGTACGGAAGTTAGACTGTACGAAAGTTCGTCACTGTCAAAGATAAAATCATGAAACTTTATTTTCGTTTTAGAAATGCTGCTCAAAGTAAACAAAAACTAGTGACATATAATACAATGCGTACTCGCATGTTATTTAAAAAAATATTCTCTGAAAAAATATTCTCTATTTGCTTAGATTGGATTTACTTACTTGCTTTTATATTACCTAAACCTACTTAACAGTAAAAAGTGGTAAAAAGTATTAACTACCAAAAATCCACTTCGCTCTATTACGAACAAGTCATTTCGTTACATAATTCCGTTTGTTTAGCGGCAGGTGGTAGGTATTACCCATGGTAATGTCTAATGACATAATATGATTATCCTCGCAATTATCCTGGAATAGACCGCACAGGATAATTCCGGCACAATGACGCCGACAAAGGTAATAGCGATAACTCGCGATTGTCCCTCGATTGCCACAAATTGCTTCATCCTGGCTTTCCGTGTAGACATGACTGCCGCCCCCAATAAGCAGGTTTTGGTTATTTTGAGTGCCCGATCTGGATGAATCGAGAATTTTTAATCGACGAAAAAACAGAGGACATTTTTTTAATTGACACGGGTTTTTTCATGTAATCGTAACTTTTTACTCTTATAAGTAACTAATTTATTGCAAGGATTTTCGAAAAAGGCCAAGTTGTATGTTAATATTGAGGTAAATGACAAACAAAGAAACAATAGAAAAAATAACATTTACTTTGTAATAAGATAACGCAATAACAAAAGGAACGGAAAACTTTTTTAAACATTTCCAAAAGTAATTATGAAATTAGGGAGATTTATTTTTAATGAAATCAGCTTTACTCGTTGTGGAAATCATAATAGCAGTTGTTATTTTAGCCAACCATAACAAGCAACGACATCACTTTACAATAACAATCGAGAAAAACATAACAATAATTGTGTGTGATCTTAACCATCTCAACACAACCCAACTCTATAAGTGTAAACCTCAACCAGTGTTTATTTGTTAATGGTACTGATTTTTGAACATAATTACGTCACCAAAATAGCGGTCAGGCTCATAAGCAATTTGCGGGGATTATACCTAAGTATTTATCTATACTAATATTATACAGCTGAAGAGTTTGTTTGTTTGTTTGAACGCGCTAATCTCAGGAACTACTGGTTCAAATTGAAAAATTCTTTTTGTGTTGAATAGACCATTTATCGAGGAAGGCTTTAGGCTATATAACATCACGCTGCAACTATTAGGAGCGAAGTAAATAATGGAAAACGCGGACGAAGTCGCTGGCGGCCACTATGAATAATATTTTTAGACCATCTCTTGGTAGAGGCATATTATTTCTGTGCTATGCTTTTTCCTATTTTCTTTGATGAATTCCGTCGTCGAGTGTTTGCACACTAGCGTCAAGGTGTTGCCATCTTTGAGGTCCCAGGTTCGATTCTCGGTCGGGTCATTGTCGGAAATTAACTCTTCTATATTGACTCTAG